GGGCCTTGTAATTAATTGATGACACTCTTAATGAATGTGATTAAAGAATAATTAATAATTTCACACAGAGAAAAGACATCATGAATCAAGAAACACAGTTGCTCAGCAGAAGACTCCCTGATCTTCTTACTTATTCACCTGGATATTCAGATTTTCCGAAAGATAGCTTCAGCTGAGTGTTTTAACAACTGCACACTGTGAAGACTTAACTTGAAATTTTGAGATTTTTGGAAAATACACTTATTTGCTTTCTTGCCAAGAATATTTTTTGGATCGAATATAATGCTACAGGCAGAAAGGAATTAGAATCAGTGTGAGGACAAAGCTTTTGGCTCGTATAGATTACTTGTAACAACTTTAGCTTCATTATTCAAAACTTTAGTGGCAATATTTATTTTAGTAGTGGTATCCATCTCTCTGTGTGCATACAGCACTGTGTAAAAGTATTGAGCCACCAATCATTTCTTTATCTTTTTCTTCTGAGAAGCCAGAGTGGCCTTGCACAATAGTTCTTTCAAATGTTTTTCTTTTGACATTGACTGCTCTTCACTCACTTTCAGTCCAGTCCTTGTGGGGTTTTTTGCTTTTTTTTTGTTTGTTAAGCCACTTAAAATTGATCTATTAATCATTCAAGGATTAAAAAATACACATAACTCAATGGATAAACCAGTGTTGTGTCTACACATACCAGACAACTTAGCAAAGAATTAATTTTGAATAGAATCTTTAGGCAATTTGTCACTGGCGGGCAGCCTGTCAAAAACACAATATTTCTCCTTTGTTTGCTGAAGCTATGAAAAATGACAACGATAACACAGTTTGACTGGCATAAAATATTATTTTTTGCAACAACAAGATATTCCTGAAGAGCTGCTACCCAAAAACTTTGTCTATTTCTGAATGTTGTGCAGTGTGTCCTTAAAAAGAATTTTAAGGAAACCAAAACAAAAAGGAATGCTAAGCTAAAAAAAAACAACAACCCAATTTCCAGTAGTATCTGCAAGTCATGCCCTTAGAAATAGGAAAAAGAATCACCAAAGACCTCACACAGGAACTGCTGTTCGCTGAAGAGTCATCATATATGCCGTCAGTGATAAATGGTAAAGTGGAAAACTGCACCCAGGACAGAAAAAAACGCATTATGCGGCTAACACAACTTTGGTTCTCTGCAAGCAACTGCGCAGATAGCTAACGCTAACCTAGCCAAGATCCCAAAGTGAAAGCTGAATGAATATAGACCCCAGCAGCCAGACCCTGAACTTCAAGAAGTAACAAACAGATGAGCAGTCAGACTGCAGCCGCCTTTTACCTGCTCGTGTTTCTAAAGCAGAATCAATTTGTTGATCTCTTTTTTGTGCTGATTTTTGACATTGTTTTGTGCGGCCAACTTTGTATTCTACTGAGAAAAAGATATTAAAGTTGTGTGTCCTAATTGGGCATTTGTGTTGGTTTGTGGGGTTATTGCCTCAAATTTATATCGTGAAATGTTGATTTTGAGACAGTTTGTTTCAATTTTACAGAGTAACATAAACCTGGTAGTAATTAAGTAATGTACTGCATTACTTTTAAGTATGTGTAATTACTTTTTTGCGTAACGACTCCTGACACTGATCACGACAAAGAGGGGAAATACTTCAACGAACATGCACAAACATTGGACCCACAGCATGTAATTCATTTGCATGAATGTAATTTATTTATTGCTGCTTAGCAATGGTGGTTACTTGGAGCCAGTGAGATCCCAATGAGAATCGATAAGAGAATTAATATGGAATTGCATTGATAAGGGATATCAATAATGGAATCAGAATCCCTAACTTCTTATGGATTCCCATCTCTAATCTTGACAGGTAACAGAACAAAATGCAGCCAATACCCAAAGAAGATCTTTGAATGCCCTTCAAGAAGCCTTGCGGAAAACTCTTCCAGAAGACCACTTAAAGAAATGACAAGAAAGCTTGTCTGAGAGAGTTCAGGCTGTGCTGAAGAATAAAAGTAGTCATACCACATATTGACTTTCAGGCTTGTTACAATTTTACAGACTCTGTTTTTGCCTTACATACTTTTTTCCATGTATGTTGTCAAAAAGTCACTGCACCTAGTTCCTATTTTCTGAGCATATAAAGAAACGGTGATGGCGTAAGACTATTGCACAGAACTGTAAATATGACAGAAGGTGAGAAAATGCATGTTAGATCTATTTTAAAGTAAGCAGAAAACTTTTAAGACTTATTTTGGGCATCCAGATGGCCCGAGTCCCCACAATATTACTGTGTGAACAGATTTGTGTCCCCCACAACCTGATTAGCGCAAAGCAACACATACAAATAGAACTGCTGCATTGCAGGGCTTTAACGCCAAACCAGATCCTAACACATTCTAATACCTTATTTTCACCATGTTTAGCAGCTTGTGATTTCCCTTCCTTCCCTGTGCTGCCAGTGAAAAGGGGGCAGGAATAGATTATGCATGCAAAGGCCTGCGTGGGAAAATGGAAAAAAAGGTGAAAATGAGAATGCATATCTAGGTGCTGATGGGCGCCTTTGCGTCTAGCTGATGTTGCTCGACACAGGCGAAGACATCTTCCGTGAGTGACAATTGGGCTCGTGTCAGCAGATCAAGAAGTAATATCATTGCAATCTAATAATGCCTATAAAACATCAAAAGTGAAAGACTGTATCAAACCTAGGCGGGTGTGTAATAACTTCAAGCTAGAACACACAAATGGCACAAAGGAAGTGCATATTTAGACATTGCCATCCTTTGAAAGTGGAGATCAGAGACTGAGGGAGTATGTGTGCTGACAAGAAGGCTCCCAAAGTGGGACAGAGAAACCTACCTGGGGCCTTGATGAGAGTCAGACTGGAGGACTCTGCCTGCAAAGTGCTTCTTGGTAGAGGCAATCTTTCTTTTTCACCGGCCTTTGACATGAGTGTCTCTGCCACAAGCTGACCTGGTCTTTTCACTGCTTTTTCAGGACTGATGAAACTATTGTCCGAGTTCAAAGGGTTGATATCAGTCTCTTTTGGAAGTCCAACGCTCCATTTCCTGGCAGATGGTTGTGTCGAATTCTCCTTGCTTGTCTCAGTGTGTCCAATCACATTGCCATACCAGCTCAGTGGTCTGTGCAGCCTCCCCGATCGCTGTCCAACAGGCTTTGGAGAAATCTCTGAGGATGTGGGTGCTGCTACACCAGGAGGGTTGTTTAGGAAAAGATTCAGTGTGGATCTGTGCCGTGAGCCATTTTTCTCTGGATCTGAAGTATATGTATTTGGTGCTGCAGAGTTTGGGATAAAATTCAGATGACGATAAGAAGGTTGTTCATTATTTTGTGAATGATTTTCCTGACTCCATGTGTTGTTGCCCATATATGTTCCCTCACTATAGCTGTGTCTGTACTCTGGGTGTTTGGCCCTCAGTCTGCCTGGACTGTAGCTTTCTCTGTGTTCTGTCACTTTAATGATGGTGGCCTTCCTTCTGTGGACCACTGTGTCCAGACCATTGCTTCCCGGTGGTGTCCGTGCTGTGTTTGTGTTTGATACAGGACTTGAAATCACCCTTTTCTCTGTTACTTTGACTATAGTGGCTTTCCGTTGCACTGTTAAATGCCTGGAGTTTGGGTCCATGAGCTGGTGGTCCAAGCTGTTGTGTGGAGAAGGAGACTCACGTGACTGGGAAGAGTGGTTGCTGGTATCAGAGCCAGGTAGACTAGCTGTTCTGCTCACTTTTCTGGAGGAGATGGTGATGGAGGAGAAGCCAGGTTTGTTTTGAGGGATAAGGATTCCCACAGCGGAGTTTGTCTGTATGTCTGAAGGTTGCGTACTATTGCTTGTTGCAGAAGTTGTGCGATTCAGCAGAGGATGCCTGAGGGCCTCTGTGCTGGCTGTTTTCATCAAAAGGGATTTCCTATTAGGGTCTGAGTTGGTCCCTGTGGGGAGCTCATTGGTCTTACTGCCTCCAGGGAAAGCTGACACCCTGTTGGTATTCCAGCCCCTCCTCAGAGCTTGCCAGCCGACAGGTCTGTCCCCTTCATTAGCAGGAAAGCTAGGCTTTTCTGGCACCTACAGCGTGTGGACAAATGAGATTTTATGTGATAACATTTTTTAATTATATATGAAAACCCAGTCCTACCCTACTGTTGTTGATGATGTCTTATGGTTAATGATTTGTCATACATCAACACATTAAAAGACGTGCTTCACATTCATCTACATTCAGTCTGTGCTGCTGCTTTTAAGTGGCATATGTAGAAAATGAAACATAGCTTGGCATAAAATATTGACAACATGACATCTTTCCAATATTACATTTCAACAACAGGTCAAATGTCTTGTCTTTCTTCAGGGCTTTGCTGTTTGTTCTTTAGTCAGATGACTCTCCACATGCTTGACACACTAACTGCCCCAGTGGCAATGGAAGCAGCAGCAGGCAAAGCCAGCACACAGCGTGACTTATCCCTCACAGAATAACAATGAGACTCTATCCTCAATAGGCGAAAAGCAAAGATTCTGGTCCTTAGGCTGGAGCATTCTGATGGTGTTTATGGAGCATGGAGAAACACTGATATGTCCCTCTTTTAAATGATAAGACATATCTCCCTCGTTTATCAAAGGTGCATAAACCATAAAGGAGTTTAGCCATTTCAGTTTTCTTTTAAGGAAGTCCACACCACTGCTTTGACCATGACTTTGTGCTGTGTTTGTAAAGACTACCCGTTAAACTGTGTTAACCTTGGTTTCCTTATGACAATACTGTGCCTTCTCTCTTCTGTAGTATGTGCTTTTGTCCTCTGTGTTCTTTCCCTTCCTGTACTTTCTGCAGGTTTAACTGAATCCACAGCTTCGTGTTCCTGATTTGTTGTTATGGGCCTAAACAACCTGCTGACTGTTTCTACCTATATTGTTTGTTGTATCTTTGGATTTCATTTTCTTTCTTTGCTTCCCCCTCACTCTAACTAGTCACAGCAGATGACACCTTCCCAGAGTGTGGTTTAGCAATAACTTGTGGCTTCAGCAGCCAGAAATTTCTGCTGAAAGGAAGTTTTTATTTCTCCTCACTGTTGGCAAGTGGTTTCTCATAGGGGTTTGTTGTGTCACAGGATTATTATCCACAATGTTGGGGAGTTTCTACCTGATTTGAAGTGACTATAGCGATTGCACTCTATGGCTGAATTTTAAGGAAAAACAAAACAATTTGCCAGAAAGAAAAATCATCTAGCACAACTTTATAGATCCATAGAACAAAGAGATCACTTCATGACATTCATTCTTAACTTTGTCTTGATCAAGTCAGATACTATTTGTAGACTGCAACCATTTCTCTCTCTTTCTCTCTCCTTCCACTGTTCCATTTATTTGTCTGTTTTTAAGCTCTAGTTCAATAAATTATCTTGAGAAATCCTTTAAGGGATTAATTCTATAATCTAGTTTCTCCTGCCATTAGAAAAAAATGTTATTTATGTGAAAATGTTATTTCTCTTATATGTCAGGCCTAGTACAGTCTTGCAAGAGATCTTGCGAGAGATACTTCCTGGTTAAATAAAGGTAAAAAAAAAAAAAACAGCAACAATGTCTATCTATCTATCTATCTATAGATATAGCTATAGAGATAGATAGATAGATAGATAGATAGATAGATAGATAGATACATTGCTGTTTGTATATAACCAAGCCTGGTTAGAAATGCGAGATTCTGGTTTAAGCAAAAGAGCAAAAGTGAGCATGATAACAACAATAACAACAATTTTTATCATTATATAAAAAGAAATACCTTGCATCTCCAGCCATAAATGGGCCCAGTAATAACAATCATCATCATATCCTTCCTTTATAAAACTGTCTCCTAACCTATGTGGTACTTTATATTCCAAAACCTGTTATCAGTTACCTGTTTAATAACAGGAGCGCCTTGATCAGGTGTCTGCCACGTCTTCACACCCAGAGCAGTGGCAATGGCGTGACTTCTCTCCACCTCTGCATCTGTGTATCAAGGCAAAACAAATGATCCACTGTCACAGTCTCTGCAACACATACTCTCACGTCCTAACTCGCCCGCACTCTCTCTCTCTCTTTCTCTGTCTTTGCCACACACAAACATGCAAGTCATGCATTCCTGTGACTGTAGAGCAATGTTGACACTGTCAATAATTGACAGTGGCACAGCAAAGTGAATTTAGCACCACTCCAGAGTCACTTGTCTCCTTACCCAGGAGATACAGCAACTTGACTGGTCTGCCTCTCAGCCCTGACTGCCACCCTGACTGCTTGCCTGGCTGCGTTTCCACCTGCTGCTGTTACCATGGTAACATGCTCTCACTTTGGGATAACCCTTGTGCGTGTAATCTGTATTGGGTTTCTTCTTTTTTTTTTCAGTTTGAGGGAGAAAATGAGAGCGCAGGTGAAAATTGCAGAGCTTTGCAAACAAGATTAGACCTAAAGACAAATGTCTTCCCAGACTTCCTAAAAGACTTTGGCCCTTCTAAGGCCTCCTTTCACCTGCTTTAATCATTACATAGCTTTTTTCTGTCTGTAGAAAGCCCCCGCCCCACCACCCTGAAAAGCTTCTCTCATTACCTCTACTAGCTGAGCTCAAATTGCCATTTCCCTGAATCAACAGCTGACCATAATATCCCAGAGGAAAATAAAGAAGCAAGGCCATATGGCAAATACCCATCTGGAGTTCCCGCCCTCCCAATTTATTCATCATCCTCATGAGTTTTATCTAAAAAGTAAGTGTGAGCAGGGTGAAAATTAACCACCCTGTCCAAACATGAAGGCCCTTGAAGCACACAATCCAATTTTTATTATCATTTGCTCATTAACACCAGACCATTTCAAGTTTGTTAAATGTGACTTTTATGGAGGCAGAGGGCACTAAATGTCTGCAATGAGACCTCAGCTCTGATTAAAACTACTTCTGCTTGTTCTGTTGTCAGCAACAACCAGAAAGAGAGAGAGAGAGAGAAAATAACGAGAAATACATTTTCTAGTTCCAGGGCAACTGAGTTGATTCTCATTGGAATAACTGCGACTTAAAATTCATTTGGTTTCAGGTGTGAAATTGTGTACTTAAATCCACTGGCGGCTGAGCAAAAGTGACTAGCAATAAAACAGATTTGGATGCAGTCCTTCATAGAGATAGTTGTTTCCTGTTTCAACTCACTGGTGGTGATTGATGTTGAGTTCGGCCATTGTGTGCACCTGACTATTTATTATTTTTGTTCAACTGAACTATATTTATGGACTATTTAATTGAGAGGTAATTATTATTGTTTTCAGAAAACCTTGGGAAAAGCTGTGTGTTAAAAGCAGTTTTTCTAAAAGTATGTGTTGCACAGAAATTATAACTAAACGGTAAATAACAGCTGGATTGTGACAAGGCAATCTAACCTATATCAAAGACTATTTGAAAATGGTTAATAATAATAAATACAAAATGTCATGCCACCTTAATCGGCACAGTTTAATTAGGCCTTTATAAGATATTAATGAGGTTTACTTATCTTTGAAAGTATGCTGTCTATCAAAGTCATGAATGGATTACTTTGATTTCTGAGCCTGAGCCCTGTCAGGATAATCTATGTATAAACAAGAACAAGGCTGAAAGATCAAACCTCAGATCAAATCCAGATGGAGCTGGATGCCATGTTCAAAGATTAACACGGCCACTTTTCCAGTCAGTCAGCATCTCTCAGTCTTATCTTTCTGCCCTTTTGTTTCCATGCCAGCCCCTACCTCTTTTTCATCAGCTTTTCAGGCCTAATATTGCCCATTTCCTTTGCCTGCAATACTGCCAGAACACCGTGGCACAACAGTCACGATCAGTTGTTCTTGAAATTGACTTTGTTTTAGAAGATGTCGTTTAAAGTGATCATCCAGCCAGTCGGTGTGGAACATTTGGAAAAGGACAGGGGCAACACTGCTGCAAGGAGCTGATTACAGGCAAGTAAACTGTGTGGCAAGTCAGCCCTGAAATAAGCTCTTGTTCCCCTCCTAGCTAGCCCAGCCCCTATAGTTACCCTATGACCATATTTATTATGCCATTAATTACGTTTCTTGGTGACAGACAAATAGCCTACTCTTTACATTTTTTTTTGAATCTTTTATTTTATGTATGGTTTTCAGTTATAACACTTGCATAATGTATAGATTTGCATAACTGAATTTTGTTTTACTACACTCAGCTGAAAGCCCAGCTGTTATACAAGTGGCAAATTGCATACGTACTCTGTGCCTTAGGTGTTGCTTGATTCTTCTGAAATGTTGGAGTGATGGGTTGTTTCAGTTTCAGCTGGAAAAAGAAAGAGTGTGACAGAGAAATTACAAAAAAAATATTATTACATTAGTAATAACTGTCTAGGACAGTGGTTCTCAAACTTTTTACATCGTTCCCCACATGGCACGAAGAAATATTTTCAGCCCCATCTAAACAAAACAATGACAGAAAAGCCTAGCTGCAACTTTATTTAGATAATTATCTCATTCCCAGTGAATCCTTCAGTCTTTTTTGTTTTAAACCAACAACTTTTATTTCAAACAACTATTTGTAACTTTTGTCACTAGACTGCTTCATTAGTTTGCACCACTTCTGCAAAAGTGGAACAAGTTAAACAGAATGTGAAAATTGCCAACATGGAAAAATAAAGTTCAGTTTTAGTCTTATAAAAAAAGTAATCCAGAAAAGTGTGAACTTGAGATGAAAAATATATAATTTAGTGAGAGTTTAATACTATTCACTCTTAGTGGCTGCAGCGAGCCTGTTTTTGACTGCAGAGCTGTGCCGGGGCGTGGTCTGTGGTGCGGCTGCGGGGGAGCGGACGCACCTAAGCGGCATCCCCAATCATGCCTCGCCAGCTTAAAACAGAATGAACTAGGTCCTGTTGTTGTTGTTGTTGTTAATGTGTGTAGGATGTACCTGAAAAGCTACAATAAAGAAGTGTACTGAAAAGTGCGAACATTGGTCGGGTCTCAAGTGACCCAGTATTGGGTATCGGCACCACTGTAAATGACATGCATGCATGACAGACCCGACCACATGCTCGCACTTTTTGGTACACTTCTTTATTGCGGCTGGCAACTTACACACGCAGCTGCAGCTTTTCAGTGGATGCGCATATTAGTAACGTAACTGCCGCAAATTTCTCTGTTCCACCATAAAAGTGATTCTGATGCTAAACAGTTCTGCATGACCTTTCTGCCAGGTAACTTGCACCCCCACCTTTAAGAACTCTGTGCCCCACCAGTGGGCCGCACCACACACTTTGAGAACCACTGGTCTAGGAGTACAGATTTTTTTTTTTCGGTCAGTGTTTGATACATTTAAAAGAGTGGGAAAAGGCAAAGCCCCATTTTTGAAGTGTTTTGGCTGTTAGCATCTTAGCTTTTCCAAAAGAGATGTTATGTCAGGTGGATTTTAATCTGTCTGCACTTTGATAGGGTAGCTCAGTTCAGTTTGATTTATATCACAACAGCAGTCCCCTCAAGGTACTTTATATTGTAAGGCAAAGACCCTACAATAGTAGAGAGAAAATCCCTGGTTGGGGGGCAATGGGAGGAAGATGAAAAGAAAGCCAGAGATTAATATTAACTAACAATTTAAGTGAGGTGTCACTAACAAGGAAGCACACCCACCTTTATTGTCCTTCTGGATGCTAATGGTGGCCAAAATGTTCAAAATGTGCATCATGTTATATTTAGTAAGATTTCAAACTAATAAATGACACAATAAGCTCAACGGGAATATGTTTACTGTCTATTTTTGTATACTGACTAAGACCTGCATGGTAAATATGATGCTATCACAGCAGCCAACTTCTAGCTAACAGGTTTTCTCAGAAAGACTGAAAAGGGAAAAGGTATAGCTAGTCCATGTCTGTCCGACAATATCAGGTTAGCTGATTCCTCTTGTTTTCAGTCTAACTATTCTATTATCTATATCAATTTTCCTAAATAAAGCACATCTCCCTTAAAGTTTTCAGTTTTAACCACAATTATTCAGAGCTTTTTTTTTTCTTCTTTTTTTTAGAGTGGAAACAACTGAAAATATAAACAGAGTCATTTTTATCAGTCAGGAGTCACTAGGAATCTGCTTAATGCATCAGTTCAGTCAGATCTCTACAGCACAGCAACTTATCAATTCAAAGCCATATTATCAAATCACTGGGTGATGCTCCTATTGAATTATTTCTGTACATTGACTTGCTTCTCTCTTTGGGCACAGAGCACATAGCTCCAAATGAGTCGTAAACCTTTTGAGAATCCACTGAGTTCCTGCAGAGTAAGCTGTTTTCAAAGGATGCCAGAGCGCTGCCTTCTTCCTGGGTAACAGAGACTTGACTACAAATGGCTCTCTGTGGCACTGTGTGTGTTTTACTCTACAGTGCCTGCCACAAAGCACCGTCACTTTCATTGCAAAACACTTAGCTTCAGACTCCATGAGCATACACAACCCTAACATGCAAAAATCACACAATTCAAAATGTTGCCAAAGCCAAATCCAAGCTAAATCTTTGCCAATGCTTGTTTTAAAATTGTGTTACTCTAACTGGTTTTCCAGAAAGGTGCAGAGTGCAACTGCTCAATTTCTCTACATTCTTCCGTCCTCACTAATTTAACTGCAGATAAAAGAATTTCATAAAATATTCTATTGCCAAACGTTTTTTTTTTTGTTTTTTGTACCAGGTGTTATGTGTCTTACGTGGCCGGGAGCATGGTCCAAAAATTGGTTTTGGTTGCAAGTATCTGCAACCATCATCACTCTTCTTTGGATTGGCAGCCATCCAATTTTGACTGGAGAAAGATAACTAAGTTCGGCTTGTTCCTTTTCTGGAGCCTGCATGATATGGGCTCTCTCCCAGCTTCCTCTGCGCTCCGGAGGTGAAAAAACCCCAGTCTGGAGGGACTCCTGGCTGCCCAGCGAGCTGTCACATAGGCTTGAACTCTCACATGAAGATGAGACCCTGCTGAAAGAGGGAAAACCCGTGTGTCTCCAAGCACGTCCAGTTGGCTCTTTGTTCAGAACAGGCATGGATGTTGTTCGGTCATTGAACCCTCGAGCCTGATTATGAGCTGGGGCTTTAAGTTTGCTCTGCATAGCCTGCAGGTGCTCTAGCCAGCTGTCCAGCTGGCCACCTTCAATGGCGCTCTGGGGCCGCGGTGCACGTGGTGGATGAGAAACAGCGGGCCCTTCTGACATCAAGCTCTCCCAGTAGGACTCATCTCCTGATCTCCTCCAACCTGGAGTCCTCCTTAGGTGGGCAGCTGGCCTACGGAGAGTCATCTCTCTGGAGCTTCGGTTACCACTCACAGCTCTCAAGTTTCAGCTCCTCAACAAAAGCCGTTTACTGTGGAGGTATTAATGAGAAACTCCCGGCTCAAGCCGACTTCTTGACAAGAGTCATCCTAGAAATGCACTGCAAGGAATCAGCAGTTACAGTAATGATCAAGGTCATCTTTGTCGCAGTTCCTGTTTTGAGAACATATGAGAAAAATGTTCAGAATGAGAGTTTCAGATATATTATTTTAGGTTATAAGACTCACTACAGTTATTATCAATTTCATTCCATGATGGTGGTGTTACTCACCAGTTAATGACGTACAGTCCTTTTTCACTTGAATCCAGTTCTTCTCACTCTTTAGTGTTTAGGAAGTAAACACTGCCTTTGTTGATATAAAGTAGGTGCTAGTGGGTACTGTCTCCAGCCGAGCAGCAAGTAGCAGTATAAGGGAATGTTTGGAGGACAAAAGAGTTACTGAGCACAAGGGCTCAACATCCAATACACAGAGGAAGATGGGAAGAGACAGAGGGAGAGGCGGGCTGAAAAACAAACACTTGTTGATGTGATGCCTGACGTAACAAGAGCTCCATTTAAACAAAGTTAACATTCATCTTGTAGGGATTAAACCATCTGATTTTAGGTTACGGCAAGCCAAATACAGTATTCAATATTTTAAAAGGCAAACTTCCTGACATTCAAGAGTCCTTTCAAATGATAGAGCATCACTAATGAGCAGATTATCCATGTTAATCCACGACTCACTTACTGCTTTGGCAAATCCTCTTTGTTCATTTCCCCCTGTTTCGTCTCTTCCTTGTGATCTCGTGGTTGGTGGCTGATGATGAGGCATTGCTATCCTCAAGCTTCTATCCAAGCCATGTGACTTTAGCAAGACTGTCTTAAAATGGCCCAGTGTTTCTTGGGTAAGTAACTGTGACCCACATGATGTCACGCAATGCACGAGAGAAGGATATTTACAAGGTGGGAAAACTTGCTGGGAGAAGGATTTTGCTTCAGATTTTATTCAGGGGCATCTTTAATCTTTAAACGCAGATCTGCAAAGATGCAACTTCTTCCAACAACAAAAAAAGAAAAAGAAAAGAAAACTGGCACCCGCTTTGATATTTAATGAATTTCACTGTTCTTGGTGGATTACCAGTCCCTACGTGGCTTTCAAAACAATTCAGTATCACTGGGTGGAATTACATTTTCCAAATGTATAAAAAAAAAAAGACAAAGATAAGACAGAATGTCATGTCTATCATTTGCAATGGCCTGCTTTAAGGGAACGTTTTTAAGCTGAGAAGCCGCATGTAGAATGAAAATGCAATGATTTGAAGCAATTTGCATAACTTTGTCTGCTCGGCCTGGGAGATAACACGAAAACAAATGGAAAAACTCAACTGAGTAAAAGACAGAATTTGACCAGATAGACGAAAGGTAACTTCTTTCATAGGCGAAGAAGTCTGAAAGCGACAGCCCCCTCTGCTGGCACGACTTTAATATGACAACCTGAAGAGGAGGGAAAAAGGAAAGGGGATGGAGAAAAGTGTTTGTGGGATGGTGAACTGTGTGTGGTGGGTGTCATCATAAGTTGAGAGACTTGTGCATCTAACAGTAGGATGCATCAGTTGTGCAGAAAAGATAAATAAAGCTGAGCAGATTCGAGCGTGTGAAGCAGACGCATCACTTCTGTATCATCTGTTTAGCACCCTCAGCTTTAACCTAGGACCTGGCGTCCACATATGTGGACATCACATTTTGGGTTATTTAGACCAAAATACTGAATTTTGCTCTACAAGGCCCTGATATCCACTTATGAGGACATTATACTGCTTTATACTATCACAATTTTAAATGATTGTGAATAAGATAAAAAAAAAAAAAAATCTGGTAATTCTTTGTTTTTACATTCATCGGGCCCCAATGTGACCAAATAATGAAATGATAAAAAAAATTAAAAATGCATGCAGTGGAAGAGTTCGGGTCTTAGGAGGTTAAGAGGCCACTTCTATTGCTTAATTCGGCGCATTGCTACTCAGAAATATCACGGTCGCCTTTAGCATTAAGCGCAAACAAGGAAGGAAATGAACGCTGACCGCATGTATTTTAAACCTGTGGTCGAGTTAATCAGATGAGTATAGTGTGTGTATTTGTGAACGTGTTTTACCTCAACACCATGCACTCTAAGGTCAAAATTAAAAATAAAAAAAAGTCTCTCAATGCTACAGTCAACTATTAAACGTTAGGACTGAAGCATGTTTAATTTATGCGTTTATTCTATTATTTTCAGTGACCCTCTAAAGCACATGAAGCACTTAAACCTAACACAAATGGATGTTACTATCACTATTAGTGATATTATTATTAAGTTTAGTCTTCTGTAGTTATCATCGCATTCATTAATTCAGTCCCCTGTTGGTAAAGTTGATTTTCTTATAACATTTGCATATAGCAGTCTTTAGATAGCTTTTTATAATGTTGCATTATACAATTAGCAATTTTTTTGTATTAACATAAACGTTGTAGCCACGTAATGTGGATATTGAAGCAAAATAACAGAAAATAAATTAACATCAACCTTGAATTATAACTCCTTTATGATATAATAATACCTCTACGCCCTTGCAGATTAACCTGCAATCATCTAATCATTCATGCAGCTCAGTAGTCATGTAGCAGCGTCCGTCACAGCACGACCAGCGCTGCGAGTTTCGCAGGACGCCTGCAGGGTGAAAAAGTTGTGTTCCCTTCCTCCCCCTTGCGGAGTGTCCTGTCACTGGTGGAAAATGGCTGCTCGGAGTAACTCCCCAAAGCTCAGAGAAAACTGAAAAAAAAAAAGAAGTCTACTTTAATAACAAGAGGTCACGTCTGGACCTTTTTTAACAGGCAGAGCGACAACTCGAGGAAGCCTCGACACTGAGAATGTCTCGCTGGGTGCCCACTAAAAAGGAAAAGTATGGAGTTGGTACGTAAGAAAACTTGCATGCTCCATCGCTAGCTCGCCCTAGCTCTCTGCTCTCAGATTGAACAAGTTAGGGAAGATTTGTGATTAGAAAGCGAACGGTTGAGTTTTTCCCATCCGTGGGGCTGTACGCGGGATCTCGTGGTCAAATTTGCCAAAAGCTAGTGGAATGCAAATATTACGAGTGGGGAATGTGCCAGCTGGTTTGCATGAAATGCAAAACAAGGATTGTCTGTCTTTTGTGAGGAAGAGGACTGTGTGTGTGTGTGTGTGCGCGTGTGTGTGTGTGCGCGTGTGTGTGGATTGGGAATTGTTAGAGGCGCGCCTAGTACGGCGGTGTTTCCTGTGTTATGGGGCCTCCGCTACAAACTAACTAGCTAGTTTCAGGCTACGCTGGACTTGTAACTGTGAAGTTTGATGCTTGCTTTTGTGTTTTCGTCTTCTGTACCAGGGAAAGCCTTCGTTGTTAGTTGCTTATTGTCAGCTCATCTAAGAGTTTGAAACCTGGCTGAAGAGCATTGTGCCGTTTAGCTTCCACCATCTCCTTTAGGGGGGATTTACTCAACAGTATCGAACCTCGTCGCAAAAAGTAACTGTAACTATGAATGATATGCAGAAGAACTTAGCTTTAAAGGGAAACTGCTACAAGGGCAGCGTTTGCTATGTTTTCCTGTAGGAAAAAGGCTTGATCAGATACATCCAGGAGATGTTAGAATTATATTACTGATATGTTTTTTTGTCTTTGTTTACCAGGTTTACCATGCTTTAGGCACTAATATGCAGCCTTTAAAAATGACACTAATGGCACAAACCACATCTTTCCACATGTTTACTTTTTGACTTTAGATACATTTGAATAATACCTATCCAGGTGTGCAATATAAAAAAGAAGTGCTTTGAAATTTCTTTGGTAATTCCACTTGACTGTGGGATGGAACAGGGAACAATAATAATAAAAAAAAAACCCACCATGAGGAAGTTGAGGTAAGATGAAATCTGTAATGCTCAGAATATAAGAAAAGAGTTGCATGACTTGTTGAGTTTTGATGGATTAAAGTTGCTCATTGTGCCACAGGACAGATTTTTTCTTTAGAAATCTTTCATTTTAGCCTTTATTTGTAAGGACAGTGGAGAGAAGATGGGGAAGCTGGAAGAAAACCAGGGGGAAGTTGCGTTGTAAATGTCCTTGGGGTGATTTTGAACCCGGGCCTTGCATTTGGGCTGCCTGGGCTTGCCCAGTGAGCCAAACCAGTGCCCCAGTTTGTTATTTTTAATGTCCCACAACATACTGAGTTACTTTTGGCTATGTCCATTAGTGGGACTGAGGGCTTGCAGCTGTATGAGGGTTACTGAAGCTGACTGATGGATGAGTTCAGCCGGTTATGTGAAAGCACTGTTTTTTGGTCCGTTTCATGGCGTTTGAAGTGTGACAAGTTTACAGTTCTGATTCTAATGCTTGTCTGTTTAGTCACAAATATGCAACGGCTCTTGAAAGTTGAGATTCTTCAAAAGCCATGGAGAAAATTCTCTCAGGGTTCAGTGAATGCAAGAGTGGATGAGTCATTAGTAAAAAGAGAAGCAGCTGCCACCTCACTGCTGCACAGTATTGGTTGGGTGCACAGCCATTGCACTTTTAATACTTTATGTGTTGACCAAGTAGCACTAATGAGCAGTCGGTGAGACACCTTATGCTAGCAGCGCTCACTGAGGACCTATTTCTGTTTCAGCAAAACTTTTTTTTTTCCCTCACACCATTTACTACTCTCATAATGGTCTCACTGCTTTGTTTGTGTATGTGGGGAAAGTGTCTCCTTTTGTCTTTCCACAACAGCATTAATAATGAATGGCACTGTCTTCTTGCATAGAGCATAGCAGTGATTACGCATGTTTTTGTCCTCATACTGGTGGATTCACATTACAGTATTTGTGCAAGCAAGTCTTTGTATAAAGCCATGTTAGATTTGTGTCGATAATAACCAGAAACAAAATAAATCTTTGTTTTTCTCATTTGTTTTTGTTTTTCTGTGTCATATTGCGTAGCTTTCTGCTCATCGTTATGCTTCACTGCGTGGAAAGCGAAGCACTTCAAACCTGGAACAAAACCAGAGGAGCTTTTTAGTAAACCAGCCGTTTTTGTTGCGTGTAAAGCTTATTAATATATTAGTAATATATCCGTGTTGGGTAATGATAACGTGTGGGGTTTCTTAAATTTTATAGCAGTATGGCTCTAGTCTCAGGATCAGCTGGTCAGTTGTTTGGGCAGCACGCTCTTATCGTCTTCTTGGTAACACAATAACAAGTGTTACTTTGGTGAAGAAAAGAAATGCTACATCAGTAGCTTTACAGGATTGGTCCATTGTTATTGTCAACAAAGGGAAACAGATGATTTGCGTTAGGGTTGAGGCTTATAGTGTGAACATATCTGAAGTGGCATATTTCAATGTGCTTGTTCCAAGAATAGTTTATCATGGCAATCTCCAGA